CTTCTCTGCTCAGCCCCAGCCTGTGGTGAGGCCCTACCCTGCAGCCCTGGGACTATGGAACAGCACAGTGCTTATTTTTGGTGTTGTACAATAAAAGCCAACCACCTGTGGCCAGCTGAGATGCCTGGCCACGCATTAATATCACAAGCATAAGGTAAGAGTAGGTGAAGACTGAAACAGGAGGTCAGTGTGATCCAGGCAGACCGATTGCATAAGAAAATCATTTTTGTGGGGCACAGACAAGCTATTTGCTGTTGTGGTTCTGTTTGCCCAATACCCCAAAAAGGATTTTATTTCTTGGGAGAAAAAAGGACTCATCCATACCCCCGGTGCATCGGCAGCACCGGAGGGATGCAGGGACCCACCAAGCTGCCGGGACCGGCCGGAGCTGTGCTGTCTGCCCACCTCCAACACACAGCAAAGGTCGTTTACTCAAACCTCAGCCAAAGAAACACACGAGGACACGTTTTATCTGGCGGCTGCAAACAGCTCAGGCTGCCCAGGCAGTGGCCGTGGCAGAGGAGCAGCCCAGGAGCCCGGGCATCCTTCTGCTGCTCTTGCCATCTTCTGCGTGCAGAAGATACCCCCATCCAACCCTTCATTCCTTCAGAAAACACGGGCAGCACATCTCAGAGTTTATGTTTAATCCAAATTAATGTCCTACGGCTACCACGTGCATGATTATGGCAGTCATTTTTAATTAGGGGTTGCGTCAATAGTATTGACATTTTCATCGCTTTTGGGGGAAGTAGAGGATATTTTCCTGCAGGGGAAGTCCCCTCTCTGCAGTTCTCTACCCCTCCAGCTGCACCCACCGTACAAAAGGGCGGTGCAGCTTATTAAAAAAAAAAAAAAGCAAGAGAATTAAGCCTGTTCTCTCTGTAAGTAAATTACAGTGACTTACGCAGCACCAAACTCAAGGAAGGCAGAAATGCTAATTCTCTCCATCCTATGGCAAGATTTACAATCTGATTCTGAGTGCAATATTTATTATTAACAGAATAATTATTAATAGGACCTTGGAAAATGCTGGTGGGCCTGCCATGAGGAGGGTTCACTCAGTATCTTGCTGGGAAGTGGAGTCAGACACGGACGGCTCAAGCCCATCATTGCACTCGGTGCTAAATACACTGCAGGAGCTATCATCCAGCCAAAAAAAGAAGGGGAAGGCAGATCATTACATTTATTGGTCATCGTTTTTCAAGAGTCAATAAAGACCCACTAGAAAAGGCATGGTTAGTAGCAGGATTATGTATTTTCTTCGTCTACCTCAAAAATACCTTTGGCTATCCATAACACCAGCAGAAAGTCCGTCTTCTGCCCAACACGTCAGGATGAATCTTCCTCCCAGACGATGGTCCTGGTGTAGACAGTGCTCACATTGTACAGTTTTTAATGTCTTTAACCATCTTTAGCTTTGTATCCTGATAGCCCCTTCAGGCTATATGTCAATGCCATCTGGGAGGAAAAGAGGAGACTTCTGCTCAAGCGGTAATGCAGATCTCCTGACTAAAATTGTGCTTCCTTCACTTGACAAACTGTCAGCACAGAACAATTATCTGCCTGTTGGTTTGCTTGTCCTTGCTTTTCTCTCCTCTCAGAAAAAAAAAAAAAACCAAAAAACAGATGAAGGAAAAAAGGATGTGCATTATAAAACTCCATGGACGGAATCCATCTGATCTGACTGCTCCACCCGGAGATGCGCTGGTAGATGGATCAAAGGTAAAAGAGAGACCTTTCTTTACCACCTCTTCTGCCACCTTCTCTTCCTACACTTGACTGATGAATGGGTCTGTGGGACAGATAATGTGTCTGGTTTTATCTGTCTTAAGTCCTGTATAAATACGCTAGATATTAGAGTATTAGAGTATTTAGGCTGAGGTGTTTAGCAGCTCTAGATTATGAATTGCTCCTCAAAATAACGTTTGCATTTGCCGACCAAGGTCTTTATTACAGAAGAGGGTCAAGCAAAAAAAGGATTATTCCTGCTAATTATTCACTGTTATTGAATATTTGCACAAAAGTCTTGCAGGACCGTGTCCTTGGGATTGCCTTGTTTGAGCAGCTAATAGGGTTTCCGGGAAAGCAGCAGCGTCTGGTGGGCCATCAGAGCCGCCTCTTCGTGGAGATGGAGGACAATTAGATTTGATGTAGTTAAAGGGTGGTTGGCTAAAGGCTTATAATGACTTAGGCAGGACCTTATCCTGGGGTTTTCAAAGTCAGCATTGAAAACTCCTCTCAGAGCTGTGCTTTATGGGAAACTGAGTGAAGAAGACCCAATTTTCATACCCTGGGCAGGTTCATGACCTGGGCAGCTCCTGGCTGACATGGGCAGCCTCAAATTGGTCCCATTTAGTCCAAAACTCTGCTGTTACATCAGAACAGACCGTGTGGGAGGGGGAGCAGGGCTGAGACACAAACCGTTGAGAGGGATATTTGTAATTTTTTGGCCCTTACCTGAGGTTTGACCCTATATATTTGCAGTCCCTAGAGGGTTTCCCTGAAGTCTACCAGCTGCCTTCTGCTTGGGCCTTGATTAGACTATAATAGGCTGTATTGTTATAGAAATTCCTTGGTAAAGTGAATTGAATTTCCTATTCCATAAAGATAAAATTAAACAATAAAAATACTGGCAGAAAGCTTCAAGCACAGGTGCCTGAAGTTGGGACGTACATTTAAGCATCTAAATACACAGCCCAACTTTTGCAGCCCCTGTGTATTCATATTCTTCTCTAGTTTCAAGAGAATTGGAAGCTTTCCTTCTATTCAAGGCTCAGGTGGCTTTGGGGGTACCTGAAGATGGACGGCGTTTCTTTAAGTAGGAAACAATTTCATTTACATTCCATGGTTTTGTCGACTCCTGATGACTCCAGCTTCCCCATTTGACATTTTTTTGTAACTTAATTATCAATACCAAGGAAGAATTTTAATAATGGCGTTGTTTACATTGGATGCGGCCCTGGGGAACGAGAGAGAATAACCCAGATTGCGGGAGCAGGAGGGAGGAGCGTGGTATTTTGGAAACCCAGGACGCAGCCTGTTGGAAGCATCTGTTTCTACTCAACCTTTTCCTCTAGAGTCCTGATATCATTCACAGCCCAGACTGCCAGAAATTAGGGACTTGTGCTGAGGATTCCCTTCCCCTTGTGCTTTCCTCCCCATCCTTCCTCGTTTATGAACCCCGGGACTGACAGCGACAGCGTTGAGGTGCTGTTTGCTCAGCTCAGACACTCATTCCTTGATGGTGACTTTGCTTGAAGCTTCTGAGATGGAAACTGGGAGGTGGGATTGGGTAGTGCTCGGTAACTGGCCTTGCTAATTGCAAAGTGAATCATTGGCAGGGAAAGACAATGTCTTGAGATGTGACTTGCAGCTACAGAGGTGGTGGCCACTTGGCTACTTGGCCAGAGGCAGAGCTGTGCTGTGTGGCTGCAGCTGGAAAGCCACGAGCATCCTTGTTACCCACAGCCACAAACTGGCTCTGTGCTAATGCAGGGATTTGTTGGAGCTGCTCATTTTCCTCTGTTTGCAGTCACCAAGGCAGTAAACACACATTGCAACACTTCTTCTATTATACCAGGTCAAAGCACTGTTGGGTGCCTGGAAAGATGTCGCATTTGTGAAAAAATAAAATAAAGAAAGAATCAGTAATTTCTTTTATGTTTCCAAAAAATCAGCTGGTGGCATGAAGGAAAACATCCTTCTCCAAAGGTTTGTCCATTGCTTCCCACTTCTTAATTTTTTTTTTTTAAAAGCAGGAAATATTTCTGATCAGTTCTGATAGAACCACTTCTCCTTGCTTGTATATTTCCACTTCAATAGCGATGAATCACAGACAGAGAAGAAAGTAATGGAACAATTTAGTACCTTCACCTTCCTGGCAGTAACCTGGACATGTATCTGTCGTCACCATTGTACAGATCTGGGCTCTACCAAAAGGGGTTTCACCAGGGAAGATGATCTCACACGTGGCAGCCACAGAGGCACTAGTGACTTTTAGTGAGGTTTTGACAGGTTAGCAGTCTTTTCAGTAGGAGAACTGATCACTGCATCCCAAACGAGAGAGCTGGAGACCTGAGCTCTCAGCCCCACGCGTGTCCTTCAATCTGATCTTGTTCTCGGGCAGAAACACCAGGTACACGCCTGATCTAATCGAAGTATGTGGGAAAAAACTTCAGTAGGATTTTGGTTTAGGCACTGTTAAAGTGCAGAAGAATGAGCTGGCAGAAGTGGGTAAGCACCGTTTTCCTTTTAGCTGAGGAAAGGTGCTCCTGCAGTAACATTGCTCCCCATGTCTTTGCCTGTTAAATACCCAGTGACATAAATATTAGATGCATGTTAAGCCTCAGATCCAGCAAATAGCTCCTTATCTTAAAGCACATGAATACTCTTGGCCTTAGGAAGAACATTTAAATGGTACCTAAAGGACCAGAGACGTGGAAGCAAGCAAACCACGTTTCTGGTGTGTGAAAAGAGACAAATCTCTGCACTCTCTCATGCCAGGGGTTAACTTAAGAAGTCGTTAAGAATTAAAGACAAGAATAATCTCACATCAGACTTTTGCATCCCGATGGCTCATTATACCAGCAATATTCATGGCCTGTGATAGCCCTATAGATTTACGATGGTTAGGAAAAGATGACGCCCAGCTTACTTTCCCACCAATCATTATTACATGGGAAAGTGAGTGATTTTCTTTAAGTCCATTAGCATAACGTTAGTGCTTATAACGACCAGACCGGGGTAAGACACTTTATAAGTCTTTCAGGTCCACAAAGTTAAATGGGGGACCCTTTTTTAGGAGCATAGCTTTTATCTCCCAAACAAAAGAATCATTTTTGTCCAGTGCAGGCTGAAGATATTTGCAATTTGGGGCAATTAAGGAGTAGCTGGAATTCCCTGCTCATTCCCTGCTCTGGTGGCCCTGTAACTCCCCATTTCTTCTCTAGAGCCTATTGAACGAGCAGCTCGGCGCGTGGTACAAAACACAAGGAGGGAACTTCGGATCAAAACCTTTATTCTTCCTTGCAGCAGGTGAAACACGGAGGCAGGGGGGCTCCCGGGTGGGCACGAGCGAATACATATGAAAATGCAGAGCATTTGCAGTTGAAATACACGGTCCTGAATTGCAGCCGAGATCAATACGGGAGGACGATAGAGATTATCAATCTTGAGTGGTCTCCGTTAGGCAGAATTGACTGGCAACCACATAATGACTCAGGCTCAGCCCACCAGTTTAGAGCCCGGGTGATAGATCTGCAGATGCCAGTCATCATAATTTCCTTATCGGCAGGGTTCATGTGGCCATTTGTCTTCTGCTACCTGAGATGTCTCCGTCCGGTTCAAGCGTTCCATCCTCCGAGGTGGGTCTGAGAGATCAATGCACAGCTACAGCTGGTTGAAGGGGACCAAATCCATTGAAGAGGTGATTTGGTTCCATTTTACCAGCTTTAGCAAAGCATTTGGCCTCACGGGCGGTGGCCAGCAAAGAGGGGAATTCCTCGGGGTCTTTTCTTCCCCAGCTGCCTGCCCCTCTTCTCAACTCGCTGCCTGACGTTGCAGTGGTTGAAATGGCTTCACTTTCAGGCAGTTGGGATTTATTTAAGCTTCTTAGAGGCTACGGCTGAAGAGCAGGTCTGAATTAAAGAGGCAGGTTTAATAGCAGCAGAAGAGTCTGCAGCAGTAACCACCAGCCTGGAGCGTTTCTAAACTCGATATTTGGCTCTGTATGTTTCGAGAGCCACGTTGCTATTACAGGGTGACATAAGTAAAGGCTATTGTTTTAATCCAGATACTTTAATTGTCACCTCCTGCCTTCTTCCTGTCAGTGTTTTATGGTCTGCTGTCCTCCTCCGAGCCCCGTGTTTCAGAGTCTGAAGTGCCACCCGACAGGCGGCGGAGGCAAAGCAGAGATGGGCTTTGCTACAGCCAGCCCAGCCCACAGCCCAGGAACTCAGGGCTGCAGAGCTCACAGCCCTCCTTGGAAAATGGGAGGGAAAAGGCTGAAATACCTGAATACTTTTTTTAGAGGTTGGCAGGCTCATCCTCCCTACCCTGCGTTTTCTCATCCGGTGTTAAAATCAGTGGTTTTTCTCAAGATGTGCTTGAGACGAGTGATGGTTGCATTTGCCATCACCAGAAACCAAGAGGAAAGGAAAAGAAAGAGGGGAGGGGGGAAATGGAAAAAAAAAAAACATGACTTTTCTCTCTTGCAGTCTCATAATCAGGCAGTTTGCCCCCTGGATGGTGAAAGCGAGCCCCTGCCAGGCAGCCCTGCCCCAGCCGCTCGCCCGCAGGTTTGGGGGCCGCAGTGCTGGGGAGCTGGTTTCTCCTGGAGAGCCCTGCAGCATGACCACCCCACTGCTAAAAATAACTCGGTAAATCAAATTTAAAAATCACAGCGGCTCCGATCATTTCTGCAGTGGGAGCCAATAAACTGGGGCCTTTCCTTCTTAACCCAGAGCCGGGCGCAGATATTGCACATTGCCATGTGCATAACCTATTTAAAGAATTTATATGCGTCATAAGGCAAAGGTGACTTTTCCCCCCTCTTCCTCGGCAGCCCACCAGGCTGCAAGATGATACGAGGAAAAAAGCACCTGCGCTTATAACCACTGCACGCAGAAATATTGCAAGTGGGCCAGCAGTACAGCTCCCCAAGAAATACAGGCTCTGCGTTGTAAGGGGAAGTGCTGCGGATCACTTCACTGCCCAAACCCGTTACTCCAAGCTGCCTATAAATAAATGGGGAGAGAGAGAGAGACAGAGAGAGAGAGAGAGGCGCTTTTTACAAAGAGCTCTACAATTAATTTAATCAAGTTATCTCTAGGTACCTTTTCAAGAGACAATCAAGCCGAGGAACTAAAGGAAAACTTAGACGGTGAAGACCTGGAAGTATTAAATTCATGCTTTGGTGAGTTACAGGAGGCAAAGGAAAGTAATTAATTACAGGTCACCAGGGGAAGGTGGAAGTGCCATCGGTGACCGACGCCGCACTGAGCCTCCAAGCTAAACCCTGACGTGGAGTTGGGGTTAGTGTCCACCAAGCCTGAGCATCACCACCACGCACCTAAAACACACTCCACTGCCCAGGCTCACTTGTTCTTTCCCAGCCCCATGGATCTGGGGGGAATCAATTGAAAACAGAGCTGTCAGAAAGCAGTGAGGGGGTTACACTGAGCATCTCCTGCCAGGGACGAGGGCCATCCTCACCCCCCCCCCCGGCTTTGCTTCAGGGACTGCCCGGGAACACATTTGAAATCGATGTGAGTTGGCGTGGATGCTCTGTAACGTTTTGTTTAAATTCTCTGCAGTGAGTTAAGAGTGAGCTTTTCCTTTTTAGAAAATTAGTTTTTCTCTTCTGGATGCCATTAATCAAAACTAATGATGTCTCTCCGGTGGCGAGGCTTTCCCAGCAGCCGAGAAAAAGCAGCCCACGGTAACGGGCTGGAGATGGCTGTAACCCACCAGGGCTTGTAGCCTCCTGGCAGGGCGAGCACAGCTCCCCCCAGGCCTGCCCTCTGGGGCTGTACAACCAACCCATCTGAGTCAGATGAATTGCAGAGGTTTTGCTCCGAAGGTCTGAGCCGTGCTGAGGCTCCTGATCTCTGCTGCGAGGGAGTGCTCATGATTCCCCCCAAGCCCCCAGGAAATGTGGGGTACGGGGTTCACCTCTGCCAGTGCAGGCAGAGGAGCTTTGCCCAGCCCTCATGGACAGGCAGGGCTTTGGTGCCCCTCTCCTTTTCCTCCTGTGCCGATATTACAAGCACAATCTGTGACAGCACCATCTCCCAGGTCCAAAACCTCAACCACCCGATACCCCCAAATTGAGGTTTGCTGCCCACAATGAAGCCAGGTCCAGTCATTTCCCCCTCAAATTGGGTCTCACATCAGAAGGTCCTTTCTGGCTGTTGGTGCCACCCTCTGCAGGACCCTGCTCCAAACCCCTCCTGTCCCATCACACCGGCACATCCCTGAGCTGGGCAAAGTCCACGCGTGCTGTGGGATGGCATTGGAGAGCCACAGGCAACGCTTGTTAGGGGCAAAGCAAAGCCAAAGTAACAAAATTAATCTGTACATTGCTTTTCTCTCTCTCTCGACCATTGCTTTATGCCTCTGGTTTGCTTTTGGCCAGGTGACAGCTCCACCATTAACAATTCCAGGCACGAGAACAGGTAAAACCCCCACATCACCAACACACTGCTCCGGCAAACAGCACCAGAAATGGGCAACCTGCTATTGAGGACCTTCCCACTTTAGCCTCGATATTCTAATACAGATGTGTTATAGACAGTACAGCAAAGCCAAAGAATTTATCAGCATTTGTCGATATTCCTAATGAAGCAGAAGATTCAACATGCAATAGAATTAGCCTACAACGAACCCTCGCGCAGGACCCATCCTTCTGAGTCCAGAAATCTCCTGCCTATTCCAGTCCGATACCCTTTTGAGAAATGAGCATCCCTCGAAGCCATTATCATTATAAGCTAAAAGGCCAAATGAGACAAAGTACTGTTGCTCTTCATCTGAATAAACAAATCATTTTTAGATCAAATGCATTAACAATTTATCATGCTAAAATCCAATCAAAAGGAAAAAACAACAATACAGAACATTGATTTCCTACAGCTTTATCTTAATGAAGTGCACATTCCCTTCGTAATTAGCTTTGGAAGGTTTTTTTCCCCCCTTTCCTCAAGCTAATGTGTTATTTGATTTCCATCCAAACATTACTAAATCGGAGGAAATTTCCCTAAAATGAAGTGGCTTTTGATAATCCAGGAGAAAATGCCTACTTTCTAGCTTTGCTATTTTTTCCACCAAAGAGCCATACTTCTACTGCAGATGATTCAACTTTATTGCCCAGTGTCTTTGCGAGGATGCTTAAATCAATGCCACAGTTGCTGTATTCTGCACAATGTGCCATTTGTAAACCAGAAAATACAACCTCGCCGCTTTCACCCGTTTCCTTGCAGAACATCAAATATTAATTTAACTTATATTATTACAGGGAAAAAGTGGACCGTGTTTTATTAACATTTCTAAAATTATAGATATCCAACCCAAAAAAGTAGACTCCAGACAAGGCTCAAGAGCCTACTGCTTGGATTTTATTTGACTTAATTAAAAAGCACTCAGTTCCTCTCTGCGCTAAAGCAGTTGCTGACATTGCAGTAGCCACTCGGTCTTTCAAACCAAAACTATTACCTGAACTTAATAAAGTGTCTATTTAATTTATACACCCCCCCTTAACCCACCTGTCTCCCACAGACACGACGTGGTTCTTGCTAACGACCGGCGAAGGCAGCGAGTCGACGGCAAATTCACCAGCGCCCCGGGGTAACCCACCTGCCCCGGAACATCCTTTCCATCACCTTTTATCTGTCTCCTTTGCCATTAATTCCCCTTTATCCAATATCCATGATCCATTGCTGGGAACGCTTTTTGCCAGGCCACCTCTCCGCTCCTCCCCTAAATCTCTCTTTTAAATCTTTTCTCCTGTAAATGATGCTGAACAGAGGACTATTGCTTTCATCCTGCTTCACTGAGTAGTTGCTGAAATGCACTGGCCAGTTTGATAGCCCGGGTTTATTGGGATGTATTGCCGAGGTACCGGGCAGTATCTAGGGCAGGGAATAAAGCCCCAAACCCTACAATTGCCACCTTATTCCCAACAGAAGGTCCCAAGCGACCTTATCAAAAACTTGGCTCTCCAGATGAGAATTTTTGCCTTAACCCCAGTTTTGGTCCTAGGCCTCTTGGGAAAATAAAGGTCCTATTTGGAGCCCAGACTGGGCTGGTTCTGGCAGCACAGAGCATTGGGACCCGGAGGGAGCTGGGATGGAGCCTCCGGGGCCGTTTGCCCGAAACGTGATGCTCGGAGCCGCTCTCTGGGAGCTGCAGCTCCCAAAACCCACCCTGGAAAGAGTTGTGGGGTTGGATTGCTTTTTTGTTTGTTTTTTTTTTTTATCTTTTCTTTTCAACTCACACACTCAAAAGAGAACAAAGCCATCCCCTAATACAGTTTGTGCATTTTATGGACCAAACAATTAAATAGGTTTTAAAACATCTGCTGACTGCATAATTCCATACAGGGGAGTGTACTCAGCATTTTTAAACAGCAACTGATACGAGATACCACTTAATAGTACAAACCACCAGCAGTCCCCGTTAAAATCAATAGAAAATTAGATGCTATGAAAATGCAATATGCGCCCAATTAGTTATAATTGGAGCAAATGGTGATGCAGATAAACTCCTGGAGGAAGATGTATTTGTCCAGCTCGCTCCCTGCCTGCTTTGGGTCGGGCAGAGGATGGGCTCCTCTCTACCCCTGAATGATGATCCCTCTAATACACGTGTGTTAACTCTTATCTAATTACGGAGTTGCTGGGAGCCTGCAGGACGGCTTTGGTGCGCCGCTGCGTGCCGTGAAAAATGATCCTCTGTCAGGCGGAAACCTCCCTGTTGGACTTGACAAATTATGCCAGCAAACCTGTTTAAGAACTAAAAAATCCTTGGACACGGTGACAGGCAGAGAAAGATGCTTCCCGGGGACAGTTATTTATTTATTTACCCGGCGGAGTGTAAGAATTGCAGCTGGGTCCCACGGATACTCACTTTCCTCCCATCCTGGCTGTTGTTCTATCAGCTCAAACTCCTTCTCACCCCTTATTTTTCCGGCCTCTCTCAACTCCTGAAGCCTCAGCTGCACAGCGAAACAGGAACTAGGTTATGCTATCCTAACGCTTTATTTTTAACATCTTCAGTGCAACATATTGGCCTCCTCCTTGTTTCATCTTACAACTGAATGGGAAGAGCCGAGGTCCCCCATCGTGGAGACACACAAGGTCCATCCCCAGCCAAGCCTCGCTCCAACCCCTCTGTGCCTTTGCAGTGGCTGGAAGCAAATCACTTGTGGTACAACAAACATTATGAAACTAGGGGGAATTTTTTCCTATAAACACTGTGAAGTACTAGTTGTTTTGCCAAAACTATTTGCTCAGACCTAAGAAGCAATAACTTTCTTCAAGGTCCGTATTTTAGTCCTGTTTTAAGTGAATAATTCAAATTATTAAAGACTTATGGCCACAAAAAAACCAAAACAAACCACAACTAAGCTCATGTTTACCCAGACCTGAAACCTTTTTGCATTACTGGACACGCTGTAACTTACACTGTTAAGGGAACTGCCTCTCAAGAAAGAGGGAAAAGAAAAAAAAAAGAAAAGAAGTGGCAGCTTTTATTTGTTACGCTGACTCAGCCGAACGGTGGAACAAGAAACGTTAAGACCCAATCCATAACTTTTGTGGCCGCTCAAAGGACGTATTCTTCCCTGACACTGATAAAAGTTTAATATGTAGTTGCCCAGGTTTTTAATAAACTTGTCAACAAAAGAGCAAGGCAAATTGATGGGGACCTTCCCAGGAATAAATTCAGCTTCAAATAGGCCAAATGAGCGTGGAGGACAGGGAGGGGACGGCACACGGGCGACTTTTGCTGGTCTTTGCAAAAATGGCACAATAGATTTTAGCGGGTGCGTCTTATTGTCTCAAAGACAAGGCTTTAGGACAAAGCTGGCTCCATTTAAAGAAGGCGAGGTGGCGCAGAGCATCGTGCTTCAGAGCCCGGACACCGCTGGGGAGGGGAGGGGACAGACCCCAACAGAAACACCCCTCTGGCCCTACCTGTCCCCATGTCCCCATCCCGCACAGACCCGCTCGGGGACGAGCTG